AACTTGAGAATTTCAATTCAATTTCTTTCTATATTATGCCCCCCATACCCATCCCGTGGGCGGTGGTGTAAAAGGTTACAGAGGCACATAATCGGTTCAGGAACTGAACCCTCTAGTTCGTTTAGCTCAGCCAATAACAATTTTTGACGCTAGTTACAACATTATTAATGTTATATATACATGTACACATTCTCATACATACATGTACATAACTTGAGAGCAGAGGTTTCTTACCTACAACACTTTACCTGAATTTACCTGGAAATAATCAAGCTATTCAGCCTTGTCATAATTAAAAAAATACAAGAAAATGCATAAAATAATATACAGATTATATAGCTCCATGAAATAACTTATCTCTAAGTTAAAATCACCCCCCACAAAGTTATGCCTGAATAGAAGTGATATAAGTGAACATAGCAAGTTATGATAGCAAGTTATCATGGCAAGTTATCATGGCAAGTTATCATAGCAAGTTATGATATAAAGCTTACAAGCACAAGGCTACAGGTTCATTGACAACCCTCCCCCCCCCTCCCCCTTCACACAGCCGGCCTATAGGCCTATGCACTATGCTATAGGCCTATGCTATGCCCCCCATGGCTGCAACTTACACACACATATTGCAACACTCAACAATACTCAAAAACACATAAAAATGAAATTAATTTAGAGATTTACGGGTCATATATGTACTATAATACATATAGCAGCCTTCTGATACCTGGTACAGTACTGTGGACGCCGGTTAATGTATCTAAGAGTTGTATTAGTGGTTTATTAAGCGTGTTAGAGGCATATATAGGGGTGGATATATAGGGGGGGGGGATGGGCCTATAGGTTTTGTGAGAACTATAGGCCTATATAGAAGCCTTGGAGCTTAGTATATGGTTAATTATAGGTACTGTGGATGCTGGTTAATGTATCTAGGAGTTGTATTAGTGGTTTATTAAGCGTGTTAGAGGAGAGAAAAAGGCATATATAGGGGTGGATATATAGGAGGGGGGTGGTGATGGGCCTATAGGTTTTGTGAGCACTATAGGCCTATATGGACACCCTGGAGCTTGAGTATAGGTACTGTGGACGCTGGTTAATGTATCTAAGAGTTGTATTAGTGGTTTATTAAGGGTATTAGAGGAGAGTAAAGGCATATATAGGGGTGGGTGATGATGGGCCTATAGGTTTTGTGAGCACTATAGGCCTATATAGGCGCCCTGGGGCTTAGTATATGGTTAATTATAGGTACTGTAGACGCCAATTAATGTATCTAGAGTTGTATTAGTGGTTTATTAAGCGTGTTAGAGGCATATATAGGGGTGGATTAATAGGAGGGGGGATGGGTATATAGGTTCTGTGAGCATTATAGGCCTATATGGACACCCTGGAGCTTGATTATAGGCACTGTGGACGCTGGTTAATGTATCTAAGAGTTGTATTAGTGGTTTATTAAGCGTGTTAGAGGAGAGTAAAGGCATATATAGGGGTGGATATATGAGGGGGATGATGATGGGCCTATAGGTTTTGTGAGTGCTATAGGCCTATATAGGGAGCCGTGGAGCTTACTATATGGTTGATTATAGGTACTTGAGGGAGCGGCGGGGCCATGACCGTGCCAGAGGAGGTGCAGGGAGGCCTAGGTGATGGCTGGTCCCGCCCTGTAGGCCTACTCACCCTAGCAACACCGCCATCATGGCCGGCCCCATAGGCCTATGGTCGTGTTGCTTCCTGCATGTGCAACTGCACACCTCCCCCCCCCCCTGCCCCCCCTGGACCCAGCAGCCTGTAGGCCTGCTCCAGGCCGCCTGTAGGCCTACCACAGCCGCTTGTTACACAAAAACTTCCTTGTTATGATGTTTACGAGGCCATTAAGCCTAACTGGGTGGGTGTAGCGTAGGCCTAACGGGGTCTAGGCCTATGGAGGCCTAGGGCGACTCACCTGCCTGCTGCACCGCCTCTCTCACGCCCAGCCGCCCACACGCCCGCCTATATTACACATTAATAACACAAACAGGCTATAGGTATAGTCCGCCACGGCCTAAGCCTAACGATTTGGCCCACAATGCATCGGTCATTAGGCGCGAGGTTTGAATATGGGCTGCATAATGGGCGGCCGCCCTCTAGGCCGCCCACACGCCGCCCACGCCGCCCTCTGTCACCTTCACCTCTATATATTAAACTTATTTTACGTTTTTGCTCCTTATATGTTGCCTATAGTTCGTTTTTTAATGATATATGAACGATTTGGGCTGATTGGAGGCGTAGGCCTATTTATTTTAAGCGTATTTTCAGCCATATACTTGGTTTTAAGCAATATGTTAATAATACATAAATTTATACTAATTTTTGCTTCTGTAATGTGAAGAGGAAAATACTTAATATGTGTTATTATTTCTGTTACAGGGAAATGCATTTCTGAAGTCTGTAGGCCTATTCAATACAATGTCAATTATCTCCCACTAGAGAAGGAGATGGCCGTAGAAATTAAAAACCAAGCCAGAATATGTCTTCTAAATATTCGTCATGAGCTTGATGTTAATTTAGGAGTCAACTTTGAAACCATAATAAAAGCTATGAAAGAGAACCATCGAAATGAGGCCGAACCGCCCCGAGTGGCGGGGATTTTTCCCCGGCAGAACTTCCCCGCCAGGCGGCCGGCGGGGTTACTGGGGACGACCTTGCTGCTCGTCTCTAAATGATAATTTATTGTTAACAATTAATAATTAATAATTAATGCCTTGCACTACTTTAAGCTCGACAGATAATTCATATCCTGTATCACTACTTCTATATGTTAAATAAATTGATTGGTTGGTAATCTTGTCTTAAAATGTGTCAAAGGGAAGGTGGCGTGTTAGTGGCTACAGGTGGCGTGGTGGTGGTGTTAGTGGCTACAGGTGGCGTGGTGGGGGTGTTAGTGGCTACAGGTGGCGTGGTGGGCGTGTTAGTGGCTACAGGTGGCGTGGTGGTGGTGTTAGTGGCTACAGGTGGCGTGGTGGGCGTGTTAGTGGCTACAGGTGGCGTGGTGGTGGTGTTAGTGGCTACAGGTGGCGTGGTGGGCGTGTTAGTGGCTACAGGTGGCGTGGTGGTGGTGTTAGTGGCTACAGGTGGCGTGGTGGGGGCGTGTTAGTGGCTACAGGTGGCGTGGTGGGGGTGTTAGTGGCTACAGGTGGCGTGGTGGGCGTGTTAGTGGCTACAGGTGGCGTGGTGGTGGTGTTAGTGGCTACAGGTGGCGTGGTGGGCGTGTTAGTGGCTACAGGTGGCGTGGTGGTGGTGTTAGTGGCTACAGGTGGCGTGGTGGGCGTGTTAGTGGCTACAGGTGGCGTGGTGGTGGTGTTAGTGGCTACAGGTGGCGTGGTGGGGGCGTGTTAGTGGCTACAGGTGGCGTGGTGGGGGTGTTAGTGGCTACAGGTGGCGTGGTGGGCGTGTTAGTGGCTACAGGTGGCGTGGTGGTGGTGTTAGTGGCTACAGGTGGCGTGTTAGTGGCTACAGGTGGCGTGGTGGTGGTGTTAGTGGCTACAGGTGGCGTGGTGGGGGCATGTTAGTGGCTACAGGTGGCGTGGTGGTGGTGTTAGTGGCTACAGGTAGCGTGTTAGTGGCTACAGGTGGCGTGGTGGTGTTGTTAGTGGCTACAGGTGGCGTGGTGGGGGCGTGTTAGTGGCTACAGGTGGCGTGGTGGGGGTGTTAGTGGCTACAGGTGGCGTGGTGGGGGCGTGTTAGTGGCTACAGGTGGCGTGGTGGGCGTGTTAGTGGCTACAGGTGGCGTGGTGGTGGTGTTAGTGGCTACAGGTGGCGTGGTGGGCGTGTTAGTGGCTACAGGTGGCGTGTTAGTGGCTACAGGTGGCGTGGTGGGCGTGTTAGTGGCTACAGGTGGCGTGGTGGGCGTGTTAGTGGCTGCAGGTGGCGTGGTGGGCGTGTTAGTGGCTACAGGTGGCGTGGTGGTGGGCGTGTTAGTGGCTACAGGTGGCGTGGTGGTGGGCGTGTTAGTGGCTACAGGTGGCGTGGTGGTGGGCGTGTTAGTGGCTACAGGTGGCGTATTGGGCGTGTTAGTGGCTACAGGTGGCGTGGTGGGCGTGTTAGTGGCTACAGGTGGCGTGGTGGGGGTGTTAGTGCCTACAGGTGGCGTGGTGGGCGTGTTAGTGGCTACAGGTGGCGTGTTAGTAGCTACAGGTGGCGTGTTAGTGGCTACAGGTGGCGTGTTAGTGGCTACAGGTGGCGTGTTAGTGGCTACAGGTGGCGTGGTGGTGGGCGTGTTAGTGGCTACAGGTGGCGCGGTGGGGGCGTGTTAGTGGCTACAGGTGGCGTGGTGGGCGTGTTAGTGGCTACAGGTGGCGTGGTGGGCGTGTTAGTGACTACAGGTGGCGTGGTGGTGGGCGTGTTAGTGGCTACAGGTGGCGTGGTGGTGGGCGTGTTAGTGGCTACAGGTGGCGTGGTGGTGGGCGTGTTAGTGGCTACAGGTGCATGGTGGGGGTGTTAGTGGCTACAGGTGGCGTGTTAGTGGCTACAGGTGGCGTGGTGGTGGGCGTGTTAGTGGCTACAGGTGGCGTGGTGGTGGGCGTGTTAGTGGCTACAGGTGGCGTGGTGGTGGGCGTGTTAGTGGCTACAGGTGGCGTGGTGGGGGCGTGTTAGTGGCTACAGGTGGCGTGGTGGGCGTGTTAGTGGCTACAGGTGGCGTAGTGGGGGTGTTAGTGGCTACAGGTGGCGTGGTGGGGGCGTGTTAGTGGCTACAGGTGGCGTGGTGGGGGCGTGTTAGTGGCTACAGGTGACGTAGTGGGCGTGTTAGTGGCTACAGGTGGCGTGGTGGGGCGTGTTAGTGGCTACAGGTGGCGTGGTGGGCGTGTTAGTGGCTACAGGTGGCGTAGTGGGGGTGTTAGTGGCTACAGGTGGCGTAGTGGGCGTGTTAGTGGCTACAGGTGGCGTGGTGGGCGTGTTAGTGGCTACAGGTGGCGTAGTGGGCGTGTTAGTGGCTACAGGTGGCGTGGTGGGGGCGTGTTAGTGGCTACAGGTGGCGTGGTGGGGCGTGTTAGTGGCTACAGGTGGCGTGGTGGGCGTGTTAGTGGCTACAGGTGGCGTGGTGGGCGTGTTAGTGGCTACAGGTGGCGTGGTGGGCGTGTTAGTGGCTACAGGTGGCGTGGTGGGCGTGTTAGTGGCTACATGTGGCGTGGTGGGCGTGTTAGTGCCTACAGGTGGCGTAGTGGGCGTGTTAGTGGCTACAGGTGGGGCGGCGATGAGGAACGCAGGGGCGACATGAGGCATGGCAGGGGCGACAGAAGACGTGGCAGGGGCGACAGAATACGTGGCTGGGGCGACATGAGGCATGGCAGAGACGACATGAGGCATGGCAAGGGCGACAGAAGACGTGGCAGGGGCGACATGAGGCATGACAGGGGTGACAAGAGGCATGACAGGGGCGACAAGAGGCATGACAGGGGCAACATGAGGCATGGCGGGGGAGACAGAAGGCGTGACAGGGGCAACAGAATGCGTCACAGGGGCGACATGAGGCGTGGCAGGGACAACAGAAGACATGGCAGGGGCGAGAGAAGACGTGACAGGGGCGACAAGAGGCATGACAGGGGCGACATGAGGCATGGCGGGGACGACAGAAGGCATGGCAGGGGCGACATGAGGCATGGCAGGGGCGACATGAAGCATGGCAGGGGCGACAAGAGGCATGACAGGGGCGACATGAGGCATGGCGGGGACGACAGAAGGCATGGCAGGGGCGACAGAATACGTGGCAGGGGCGACAAGAGGCATGACAGGGGCGACAAGAGGCATGACAGGGGCGACAAGAGGCACGGCGGGGATAACACCAAGCCTGGCGGGGACAAGACGACGGGTGGCGGGGAGGGAAGCAGCAGCTGGCCAGGAACACTGACAGTGGCGCCACCTGACACTGCCGGCCACCTCCCCCGGCCCGCCAGTCGTCTGGTAGACATCATAGGGACCGGTCACGCCGTCTCCGTGGCTCGCGAGTGACTGGGCTTGTGTGTGTGGGCCCACCGACATTAATGCCGCCCTACAATATACAGAAGCGGGATTCGCTTAAGCTTGAAACCGTGAGTGACATGGAGGCCGAGGGACTCCGCAGCAACCTGTCCCACCAGGAACTGATCCCCGAGGGGCCGACGGTGGTGGTAGTGACCACCATCACCCCTGACCCCGAGGGTCACGCCCCCAGGGTCACTAAAGGACAGGCCGTCACCGTCGCTATTCTCTGCTTCGTTAACCTCATCAATTATATGGACCGCTTCACTATAGCAGGTCAGTACAGCTTCACCGGCTTGTTCACCCCCCCCCACCCCGGGGGCTTCACTACACACCTGGTACAAGCACAGGTGTGGGGGGGGGGGGGCTCTAGATTGTCTTTAACTTGGCGTTTAAGTTGGAAGGACCACGTGGTGTTTGTTTACATTCTCACGTGTGGGTGTTGCTTGTAAGGGGGTCGGGGCTCCTTGGGAGGGGATTGTTTATAAGTTGCTTGTGGTGTGTTGTCTGACTCTGGTGCCTCGTAGGTGTGTGGTGGTGTGTTGTCTGACTGGTGCCTCGTAGGTGTGTGGTGGTGGTGTGTTGTCTGACTCTGGTGCCTCGTAGGTGTGGTGTTGGTGTGTTGTCTGACTCTGGTGCCTCGTAGGTGTGTGGTGGTGTGTTGTCTGACTGGTGCCTCGTAGGTGTGTGGTGGTGGTGTGTTGTCTGACTCTGGTGCCTCGTAGGTGTGTGGTGGTGGTGTGTTGTCTGACTCTGGTGCCTCGTAGGTGTGTGGTGGTGGTGTGTTGTCTGACTCTGGTGCCTCGTAGGTGTGGTGTTGGTGTGTTGTCTGACTCTGGTGCCTCGTAGGTGTGTGGTGGTGGTGTGTTGTCTGACTCTGGTGCCTCGTAGGTGTGTGGTGGTGTGTTGTCTGACTGGTGCCTCGTAGGTGTGTGGTGGTGGTGTGTTGTCTGACTCTGGTGCCTCGTAGGTGTGTGGTGGTGTGTTGTATGACTCTGGTGCCTCGTAGGTGTGGTGTTGGTGTGTTGTCTGACTCTGGTGCCTCGTAGGTGTGTGGTGTTGGTGTGTTGTCTGACTCTGGTGCCTCGTAGGTGTGTGGTGGTGGTGGTGTGTTGTCTGACTCTGGTGCCTCGTAGGTGTGTGGTGGTGGTGTGTTGTCTGACTCTGGTGCCTCGTAGGTGTGTGGTGGTGGTGTGTTGTCTGACTCTGGTGCCTCGTAGGTGTGGTGTTGGTGTGTTGTCTGACTCTGGTGCCTCGTAGGTGTGTGGTGGTGGTGTGTTGTCTGACTCTGGTGCCTCGTAGGTGTGGTGGTGGTGTGTTGTCTGACTCTGGTGCCTCGTAGGTGTGTGGTGGTGGTGTGTTGTCTGACTCTGGTGCCTCGTAGGTGTGGTGGTGGTGTGTTGTCTGACTGTGGTGCCTCGTAGGTGTGTGGTGGTGTGTGTTGTCTGACTCTGGTGCCTCGTAGGTGTGTGGTGGTGGTGTGTTGTCTGACTCTGATGCCTCGTAGGTGTGTGGTGGTGGTGTGTTGTCTGACTCTGGTGCCTCGTAGGTGTGGTGGTGGTGTGTTGTCTGACTGTGGTGCCTCGTAGGTGTGTGGTGGTGTGTTGTCTGACTCTGGTGCCTCGTAGGTGTGTGGTGGTGGTGTGTTGTCTGACTCTGATGCCTCGTAGGTGTGTGGTGGTGGTGTGTTGTCTGACTCTGGTGCCTCGTAGGTGTGGGTGGTGGTGTGTTGTCTGACTCTGGTGCCTCGTAGGTGTGTGGTGGTGTGTGTTGTCTGACTCTGGTGCCTCGTAGGTGTGTGGTGGTGGTGTGTTGTCTGACTCTGATGCCTCGTAGGTGTGTGGTGGTGGTGTGTTGTCTGACTCTGGTGCCTCGTAGGTGTGTGGTGGTGGTGTGTTGTCTGACTCTGGTGCCTCGTAGGTGTGTGGTGGTGGTGTGTTGTCTGACTCTGGTGCCTCGTAGGTGTGTGGTGGTGGTGGTGTGTTGTCTGACTCTGGTGCCTCGTAGGTGTGTGGTGGTGGTGTGTTGTCTGACTCTGGTGCCTCGTAGGTGTGGTGGTGGTGTGTTGTCTGACTCTGGTGCCTCGTAGGTGTGTGGTGGTGGTGTGTTGTCTGACTCTGGTGCCTCGTAGGTGTGTGGTGGTGGTGGTGTGTTGTCTGACTGTGGTGCCTCGTAGGTGTGTGGTGGTGTTGTCTGACTGGTGCCTCGTAGGTGTGTGGTGGTGTGTTGTCTGACTCTGGTGCCTCGTAGGTGTGTGGTGGTGGTGGTGTGTTGTCTGACTCTGGTGCCTCGTAGGTGTGGTGGTGGTGTGTTGTCTGACTCTGGTGCCTCGTAGGTGTGTGGTGGTGGTGTGTTGTCTGACTCTGGTGCCTCGTAGGTGTGTGGTGGTGGTGGTGTGTTGTCTGACTGTGGTGCCTCGTAGGTGTGTGGTGGTGTTGTCTGACTGGTGCCTCGTAGGTGTGTGGTGGTGTGTTGTCTGACTCTGGTGCCTCGTAGGCGTGGTGGTGGTGTGTTGTCTGACTCTGGTGCCTCGTAGGTGTGTGGTGGTGGTGTGTTGTCTGACTCTGGTGCCTCGTAGGTGTGGTGGTGGTGTGTTGTCTGACTCTGGTGCCTCGTAGGTGTGGTGGTGGTGTGTTGTCTGACTGGTGCCTCGTAGGTGTGTGGTGGTGTGTTGTCTGACTCTGGTGCCTCGTAGGTGTGTGGTGGTGTGTTGTCTGACTCTGGTGCCTCGTAGGTGTGTGGTGGTGGTGTGTTGTCTGACTCTGGTGCCTCGTAGGTGTGTGGTGGTGGTGTGTTGTCTGACTCTGGTGCCTCGTAGGTGTGTGGTGGTGGTGTGTTGTCTGACTCTGGTGCCTCGTAGGTGTGTGGTGGTGGTGTGTTGTCTGACTCTGGTGCCTCGTAGGTGTGTGGTGGTGTGTTGTCTGACTCTGGTGCCTCGTAGGTGTGTGGTGGTGTGTTGTCTGACTCTGGTGCCTCGTAGGTGTGTGGTGGTGGTGTGTTGTCTGACTCTGGTGCCTCGTAGGTGTGTGGTGGTGGTGTGTTGTCTGACTCTGGTGCCTCGTAGGTGTGTGGTGGTGTGTTGTCTGACTCTGGTGCCTCGTAGGTGTGTGGTGGTGGTGTGTTGTCTGACTCTGGTGCCTCGTAGGTGTGTGGTGGTGGTGTGTTGTCTGACTCTGGTGCCTCGTAGGTGTGTGGTGGTGTGTTGTCTGACTCTGGTGCCTCGTAGGTGTGTGGTGGTGGTGTGTTGTCTGACTCTGGTGCCTCGTAGGTGTGTGGTGGTGGTGGTGTGTTGTCTGACTCTGGTGCCTCGTAGGTGTGTGGTGGTGGTGTGTTGTCTGACCATGGTGCCTTGTAGGTGTGTGGTGGTGTGTGTGGTGGTGTGTGGGCAGTGAATGTGTGATGGTGGTGTGGGCAGTGAATGTGTGGTGGTGGTGGTGGTGTGTGTGGCAGTGAATGTGTGGTGGTGGTGGTGTGGGTGGGCAGTGAATGTACTCACTTACTTGTGCTTGCTGGGGTTGAGCTCTGGCTCTTTGGTCCCGCCTCTCAACTGTCAATCAACAGGTGTACAGGTTCCTGAGCCTATTGGGCTCTATCATACCTACACTTGAAACTGTGTGTGGAGTCAGCCTCCACCACATCACTTCCCAATGCATTCCATTTGTCAACCACTCTGACACTAAAAAAGTTCTTTCTAATATCTCTGTGGCTCAGTTGGGCACTCAGTTTCCACCTGTGTCCCCTAGTGCGTGTGCCCCTTGTGTTAAACAGCCTGTCTTTATCAACCCTGTCGATTCCCTTGAGGATCTTGAATGTGGTGATCATGTCCCCCCCTAACTCTTCTGTCTTCCAACAAAGTGAGGTTTAATTCTCGTAGTCTCTCCTCGTAGCTCATACCTCTCATGAGCTCTCATGAGCTCATACCTCGTAGCTCATACCAGCTCGGGTACTAGTCTGGTGGCAAACCTTTGAACCTTTTCCATTTTAGTCTTATGCTTGACTAGATATGGACTCCATGCTGGTGCCGCATACTCCAGGATTGGTCTGACATATGTGGTATATAACGTTCTGAAAGATTCCTTACACAAGTTTCTAAAGGCCATTCTTATGTTAGCCAACCTGGCATATGCTGCTGCTGTTATCCTCTTGATATGAGCTTCAGGGGACAGGTCTGGCGTGATATCAACCCCCAGGTCTTTCTCTCTCTCGGACTCGAAGTATTTCATCTCCCAAGTGATACCTTGTATCTGGTCTCCTACTTCCTACCCCTATCTTCATTACATTACATTTGCTTGGATTAAACTCTAACAGCCATTTGTTCGACCATTCCTGCAGCTTGTCCAGATCTTCTTGAAGCCTCAAGCTGTCCTCCTCTGTCTTAATCCTTCTCATAATTTTGGCGTCGTCAGCAAACATTGAGAGGAATGAGTCTATACCCTCTGGGAGATCATTTACGTATATCAGAAACAGGATAGGTCCAAGTACAGAGCCCTGTGGGACTCCACTGGTGACTTCACGCCAGTCTGAGGTCTCACCCCCTCACTGTAACTCTCTGCTTCCTAGTGTTTAGGTACTCCCTTATCCACTGGAGCACCCTACCAGTTACTCCTGCCTGTTTCTCCAGCTTATGCATCAACCTTTTATGGGGTACTGTGTCAAAGGCTTTCCGACAGTCCAAAAAAATGCAGTCTGCCCACCCTTCTCTTTCTTGTTTAATCTTTGTCACCTGATCGTAGAATTCTATCAATCCTATAAGGCAAGATTTACCCTCCCTGAACCCATGTTGATGGGTTGTTACGAAGTCTCTTCTCTCCAGATGTGTTACTAGGTTTTTTCTCACAATCTTCTCCATCACCTTGCATGGTATACAAGTTAAGGACACTGGCCTGTAGTTCAGTGCCTCTTGTCTGTCACCCTTTTTGTATATTGGTACTACATTAGCAGTCTTCCATACCTCTGGTAGGTCCCCCGTTTCCAGTGACCTACTATACACTATGGAGAGTGGTGGTGGTGGTGTGTGTGGCAGTGAATGTGTGGTGGTGGTGGTGTGTGGGCAGTGAATGTGTGGTGGTGGTGGTGTGTGGGCAGTGAATGTGTGGTGGTGGTGGTGTGGGTGGTGAGTTAAGATTTCATCTCGTTTCGGGGACAGGTAGCCCGTTTGGTTTATCAAAGAGGCCCTCCTAGGTACCAATAACACTGCTAGGTTAACAGAAGCATTAGGTGAAAGGATACGTGCCCAATCGTCTCCGTCCCACGCGGCCATTTGTGCCTGGACTCCA